AGCTTGGCTGGCGGTGCAGGTGCGGGGCCCGCCTCCCCGCACCCTCGGGGCCTCCCCGCGCCCGGGACGGCGGGGCAGGCAGGTGACCGCTCCTGACAGGCACGGCCCTTGGGTGGCCGAGTGGGGACGTGGTCCTAGGACTAGTGCCCTCTGGTGCCCGCAGCTGGAATGCCGGGCCCGCTTTTGGGGGGCAGTATTCCTTTCGGGGACCACCACAGGGACCTCGCTGACCGTGCAGAGTCGGAGGCGAGTCCGGGCCCTGGCGGATCTGCGCGGAGACACTGCACCTGCTGAAGGGGCCGAGCCCTGTCCTCCCCTCCCCAGGGCCCCGGCATGCGGGGCGGTTGTGTCCAACCCAGAGCCCTCTCGACTGACACGGCCCTGGCCAAATGCCCCTAAAGCTCTCTTCCTTTTGCAGAAACTGAGAACCCAGCTTTCCTGGGGTGACTGAAAGCACCAAGCCGGGCGGCAGGTACGCTTGCGGACCGCCCTCACTGGCTTTGCACAGGTGTGGCCTGGACCCATCCCCCGGGCCGTGTTCTCCGAGCGGCCGAGGGCAGGACCTACAGGGGACGTTGTTGGAACTAGATGCTCAGGAAGCCCCTGTCCCCGGGCTGAGCACTAGCACATCAGAGAGGAGGCTGCCAGCGAAGGGAGGTTGGTGGAGTTGGGTAAAGCCCCCCACGCCTCCCGGAAGAGGGCCCCCTCTCTGTGCTGCATCCCGTGGGGATCCATGGAAACCTGCGGTTCTTCAGCCCCCGAGCTGCAGCTCACGTTCAGATGTGGGCCACCACCAGCGCTTCATTCCCTGGGGCTGGGCTGGTGGGGAGGGAGTCAGAGGATGGTGCCAGCTCCCCTCCCCCTCTTCACCAGCACTGCTCTAGGATGGGGGGAAGGTGCTGGGGCTGCCTTGAGCCCTGTCCCCTGGGCCTGCATGGACCAGCCTCTCAGGGTCAACCCCAGCTCAGAGGCCTTGCTGGCAGGGCTGGTTTGGGGGGGGGTCAGGCACCAGGTTCCAGTCCTTGACCCCATCCTGGCCTCATGCCCATCCCAGCCGGACCCTCTTTATTCTAAGCTCAAGGCCAGGTGGGGAGTCCGAGGCTCCGCCCAGGGAGGTGGCTGCTGCCTGGCTGGCTGCTGCGGCTATCAGGCCTGATAGCCGGGGCCCCGTGGCACCCCCTGCCCTAGAGGATGGGGGTGGGGCCGGGCCGTTCTGGGACCCGAGGTCTTTCCGAGCCCACGTGAGTTGCCAGGCAGTTCTCCCCGCCTTGCGGCCCACGTTTGCCCTGCCCGGGAGCCGCCATCCAAGGACCGGGTCTGCGTTGCTGGGGGTGGGGACTCCCCGTCCTTCTGCACAGCCTCAGCCCGTGGCAGCCACAGCTCACAGGCCGCGTCGGCTTGGCCTCTTACCTGGGCGTTGCTCCCCCGTGGGGCGGGCCTCGGCAGGCCGGCCCGGGCCCCGACGGCCCGCGGCTCACATGATGTCGTCCAGCAGGTTGGCGCTGGCCACCCAGTCGAGCGCGCGCGGCTCGGAGGCGGCCATGATCATGCACATGAAGGGGCGCCCGGTGCGCCGGTCGGTGGGGTAGATGGTGGTGGGCGTGAAGCGCCGGTTGTCCTCCACGAACTCGCAGAGCTGCTCGTAGACGCGCGGGAACTCGTGGCGCAGGAAGACGCCGCGCAGCCGCAGCTCGCGCTGGATGTGGATGAAGGCCACCTCCCGCGCGCGCCGGCCGGCCTCGCCCTCCTGGTCCAGGCCCGCGGTGCCGGGCGGCGGCGTCAGGAT